AACACATCCTGGCCCACCAAGCCCTGAGGACAATATTCCTGCTCAGAGCAGCTAAAGCACAGAGAGGCCATAGGGCCGGTTTCACTAGGAGACAGGACGTCCCTCACTGACCCATAGCACTATGGAGGACAGCACTGGAGACACAGTGCAGGAATTGCACCTGATCTGACCCACCACACCGAGGAAACACTACGGGTGTGCAATAGAACAGCAGTGGGAACAGAGCAATGACGTTCGCAGGGAATACCCAAAATAGACTTTGGGGCCAGGGCATGGCACCTCATCAGAATTGACCAGAAAACTCTCCTAAAGGTCAACAAACAGACCTTTGAACTATTTCCAGGCTCCTCTTTTGTTGTTGTTGTTGTTATTGTTTTGTTGTCTTTTGTTGCTTTGTTTTTCTCTGTCTTGTTTTTTGTGCATATTATTATCTCAGCAGATCTATCTAGATATGATAGGCGGGATAAACAATCTGAAGGAGAAAACAGTGGGACAAATGGTTGGTGGAGGGGTGGACATGGGAACAGGGAAGGCAGGGAAAAGGAAGTGGGTGTTAACAGATCCAGGAACAAAGGAACAAGTGAACCAAATTCAATGGAGAGGAGGGTGTAGGAGGCCTGCTAGGGCTTGATCAAGGGCAATGTGACTGGAAGGAATTACTGAAACCCAAAAGAAGGCTGAGCATGATAGTGGGACAAGAGGAAAGTAAAAGGAAATTGAGGAAAGAACTAGCAGGCAAGGAACATTTTTGGAGGTCTAAGTGCAGGCACGTACATATGTAAATGTATTTATGTGTGAAGATGGGGAAATGGATCTATGTGCATACATATATATAGGTTTAGTATAGGAGTAGCAGATGGACGTTGGGCCTCCACTTGGGTGCACCCTTAATGCAAGAGCACTTTGTTCTATTAAACTGGCATTCCATGATGCTCACCTTCCTGACAATGATCACCGAAGACAAAGCGGGTGCATAAGCAAATGTGGTGAAGAAAGCTGATGATGCCTGGCTTTCAAGATAAAGCCTCTGGGGTCTTTAAAGACTTGAAGGTAAACAAGCAGCCATCTAGCTCAGAAGCAACAAAGCCCACATGGAAGAAGCACACCAGCCTGTGTATCACGTGGTGTCTATAGGATCAGTTATCAGGCATCAAAGAACAAAAAAATCATACCATTGTGAATGAGGAGGAGTATGGAGTGGAGACCCAAAGCCCATCTGTAGGCAACTGGACATCCCCTTACAGAAAGGTCGCGGGGAGGAGATGAACCAGTCAGGGTGCAGTATAGCAACGATGAAACCTACAACTTTCCTCTAGTTCTTTAATGCTACCCCCACCCCCTACTATCATGATCCCAATTCTACCTTACAAATCCGGCTAGACCAGAGGATATACACTAGTATAGATAAGAGCTGAAACACAGGAATCCAGGACAGATAACCCCCTCAGGACCAATAATGAGAATAGCGATACCAGGAGGGGATGGGGAAGGTTGGGTAGAAAGGGGGAACTGATCACAATGATCTACATATAACCACCCCTCCCTGGGGGACGGACAACAGAAAAGTGGGTGAAGGAGATGTCGGACAATGTAAGACATGACAAAAAAATAATAATTTGTAAATTATCAAGGGTGAGGGAGGGAGAGAGAAGGCGGCAGGGAGGGGAAAAATGAGTTGAAACCAATGGCTAAAGTAGAAAGAAAATGTTTTGAGAATGGTAAATGTGCTTGACACAATGGATGGTTGGATGGATGGATTGTGATAAGAGCTGTTTGAGCCCCCAGTAAAATGATTTAAAAAAAAGATTTATAGTCTAGGCAACCCTATGTAGGGTCACTATGAGTTGGAATTGACTTATTAAGAAAGAATGTGTGTATGCACATTTACTTTAATATTAATAATGTGCTGTTCTATATTAAATGAATAGTTTAATAAAATATCAAAGTAGATATATTCTTGCGTCTAAATAAAATTGTCCTAACTTAACTGAATAATATCCACTGCCCTAGTGAGAAAGATTTAGTTTTCAAGAGAAAGGAAATTGATCTTTTAATACATTAAGAATTTAAGCTGTTTCCAAATGCCTTAGGGTCTTAGTTAATCAGTATTTTCCCGGCATGATCTAGAGAAGGTAGATGTCCACATTATTTTTCTGCCCTTGTGGATGTAAAGTATAATACGTAACTGTTTTGAAGCATCATAGAGTATCAGGCAGTGAAGATCACATCTTCCAAAACTACTCACTTTGTACTTAATTCTAAGATCACTGATAAGTTACGTAACCTCCCTAAAGCCAGTCTCTAACATATGGAGGTATTCCTGAACCTTCTGTTGAATTTATGTCAAATAAGTACATCTACTAGAATCCTACATGTGTTCCTGAACAATGTTTAAAATTGCCGTTCCACGTTTTCAGGGCAAATAGAGCATCTATTTTGTTTTTTTCTATAGTAAATTTATATTTTAGTTATAGCTTCCCAATTTGTTTTTTACAGTTATCTATAACATGTGTGAAATGTGATCATTTTTAAAGGCTTTTTGAAAATTCCAGAATACGGTTGATTAACAGAAGCAAAATTATCTCATTGTTACAATGGGATTAACTCTTTCTTGTTACAAGAAGATAACCGGAGGGCAAAACCCTCCAATGAGGGGGTTGAGGTGACTCTGCTTTGCATTTGATGTGGAAAGGAGAAAGATATTGCTTGATCCAATATAAAACTTGTTATTCAAGTTTCTTCCCTGTGGGGTTTCAACTGGCTCAATATATTTATTCTTCCTAGTGTTCTTCCTTCTTTTCTGTCAGACCCAGGGTCATTTTTCTTCAGCCTACAGCCGTGGTTCTCAACCTTCCTAAGGCCGTGGCCCTTTCCTACAGTTCCGCATGTGGTGGTCACCCCCAACCATAACAGTATTTTCGTTGCTACTTCGTAACTGTAATTTTGCTACTGTTATGGATTGGGCGACCTCTATGAAAGGGTTGTTCGTCCCCCAAAGGGGTCGCAACATACAGGTTAAGAACCGCTGACCTCAAAAATTCTCTTTAGAATTTCTTATAATATAGGTCTGCTGACAATGAATTTTCTCAGCTTTCGTTTGCTTGAAAGCATCTTTGTGTTACATTCATTTTTTTAGAAGGTTATTTTTGCTGGGAATAGAAGTCTTAGGTTGTGAGTGAGTTTCTCCACCCCCACCCCCCCCACTTCTTTAATGAAGTTATTCTATTTTTTGTGACTCCCATAGTCAGCTGTCAGCTTATTGTTGATGCTGTGAAGGTGGCGTGTCTTATTCTCTGGTAGAGGGCCCAGGTTCCCACGGTTCACTTTAGGGTTTTGCATTCTCTATACGATGTGCCTCGGGTGGCGTTCGTGCAGTCGTTCTGGCTGAGATCTGCGTAGCTACTTCTGTCCCATCCATCTTTTTTTGGTGACCTGATAATTATGTCCCACAGATCTTTTATGCTCTCAGAGGGATTTCTTAAAATTCTTTTTTTCTCATTGTGCCTCCCTGGGATGTTTTTGTAATGATCTGCCTTTCTAGTCCCTATTTCTGCCTTCTGCTCTATTTAGACTACTAATAAATCCATCCAATGAATTCTTGCCTTTTACATGAATGTCTGAACATTATGTATTTTTAGTTCTTTTTATGAATTTCAATTTTCTCTTGAAACTTTCCATATTTTTGTGTTTTGTCTGTCTTCTCTTATTTTGTTGGAACATTTTTTAAAACTCCTGAATAATTTAGTACCTAAATCACTTGGGTCTATTTCTTTTGTCTTTTTCCCCCTCCCCTTATGGTGGTTTTTAGTCATTTCTCAGAATTTTTCACATGCATCATAATTTTTTATTGAATGTTGGACATTTCACTGAGAATAAGGAATTTTAGAGGTCTTGGGTATTGCTTTCATCGTTTAAAGAAAGTTGATTTCTTCTAACTAGCAGGTCACCTTGATCCTGTCAAGACTTTTTTATGACCAAGCTGACTGGTTTTATGCTTCAGTCTAGGGCCTGCCTGGCTCTTACCTCTAGGATATAACTCTCTCGGTTGTTGCCCAAGGCTCGTCCACCCTTTGGGGACTTGAGGGCTAGCCAAATTCCCCTGCACTTCATGGATGGTCAGTTTGACGCGCTCTGCTGCTGTTTTCTGCTGGCTTCCTGGAGTATCTTTATGTGCACACATAGCTTAGAATAGGGCCAGTGACTTGGGGGAATTTTAGGGTTTTTTTCCCTCTGGCATTTTGCGCCTCAAGTCCCAACCACTTTCTGCTTGATCTTTAGGCCCCCATGCTGTCACTTGGGAAATGGTCTTAGTAAAAGAACCAAGGCTTGAAACAACAGACATTGTAAGATATGAAGTAATAACAGTATATAACTGATCAAGGATTCACAAGGGCTGGAGGATGGGGGGTGAGGGGCAAGAGGCACTTCTACCAAAGGCTCAAGTAGAAAATGTTTTGGAAATGATGGTAGCAACGTATGTACAAATATGTTTGATACAACTGATGTTTGGAATGTTGTAAGAGCCCACAATGAACTGATTAAAAACACCAAACAGCCCAAGGCTTATTGCTTCTTGTTGGAATTTCATGTAGCTTCCCTTCCCCCAGTAATTTTCTAGGGGAAGAAAAATCAAGCCGAACTCACTGCCATTGAGTCGGTTTCAAACTACTCTGTCAAGGGTCGCTTCATTCCAGATGTCTTACACCCCAGTGTCTGTTTTCGTAGGCTGTATTTTCGGAATTTTAAAATCATTTTAATCCTTTTTATACATTTTTAAATCATTTTAATCCTTTTCAGATTTTCATGACTCTTAGGAGTTATTTCAACCAGATTGAATATGCAGAATATGTTTTTAGAATTGATCCATATCTTAAGATACTAAAAAGTAAAGATATTTTGATGCCATATATTTGAGTATAACAACCTATGTTTGACTAAAAATATGCACCAAATTAGACTATTTTTTAAACTTACCTATTAAAAATATAACTAATATTTTATATTATTTAGATAAGTTCCTGAAAATGTTGTTGTATAACCTATTCATGTTCTTGTGTGAAATATATGCCCTGACTTTATGAACATTTGCAGGTCTCGACACAGGCGATTTTCTTATAGCCAATCTAAATCTCGTTCCAAATCACTACCAAGGCGGTCTACCTCAGCAAGGCAATCAAGAACTCCAAGAAGAAATTCTGGATCTCGAGGACGGTCAAGGTCCAAATCCTTACAAAAAAGGTCCAAATCAATAGGAAAATCACAATCAAGTTCACCTCAAAAGCAGACCAGCTCAGGAACAAAATCAAGATCACATGGAAGACATTCTGACTCCATAGCACGGTCCCCATGCCAGTCTCCCAAAGGGTACCCCACTCCTGAAACGAAAGCACCAACAGCACAGCATTCCCATTTCCGATCCCATTCCAGATCCCGGAGTTACCGTCATAAAAACAGCTGGTGAGCAAGCAGCAGAAGAGCATGTCCGTGGCCTTCAGTGTGTGACGAAGCCTTTCCTTACGCTAAATAAAAATTCTTTAAGGCTTACAGAACTCCGAGTTGATAATAGTTTGTGCATAGCCAAGAAATAAAATAATCTCTAGATTCGGTTTTAGTGTAAAGGCCCACGTGATAAATGATACTTTTTATACCACCAATTTCATGGACATTTTTTTTCTTTCACTGTGTCAAAGGGTACTTTTCAAAGGACATTGGTAAATGGAACCAATTTAGAAAATTCTAGTAGGATGTTAAGTATTGATATATTAGTACCTTTTACAAAAATATTTTTACTTTGAAGTCCTTTTGCTTTTGTGTAAAACGTAATTATGACTGTATAATTGGCATAGAATAGACTTTTTGACAGCTCTGTCAATTTTGTGTTTTCTATTTAAACTTGGGCCAATCTCTGTTGACTGTCATACAAAATACAAATATCAAAGTAGAAGGCATTCAAAAGACACATTATCTTCTGAGCTCACAGGAGGTTTTAATTTTACTGAGTGGAAGGAACAGTATAGTCAACCGTCCATTAAATGGCATTCTGTACCATGCTCACTTTAGAATGTCAAAGCCTTTTAGTAATATTCAATAGTGAATGGTTTGAGACCACTTCTCAAAAAATTATAGTGTGTAATACCAACAATCCAAAAATATTCATATTAAGCCTTACACATTTGCAAAGTGGTACATTTTATATAAAATCATATTTTATAACATTATTTCTACATTCCTACTTTTCATCTGTTGCTAATTTTTTTGTTTTAGAGCTTTAGATCAAGAAAACTGTATAGAATAAGTCTCATTTTTATGTTTGAAACAGTGTTTCGTACCTCGTATTATGAAACTCGAGGACTGCATCCTAAACACACCTCTACAGTATTTGGATTTTATGTTACACTTCTCTTGATTTTTTTTTTAAACCAAATCACGTTGTTGATATTTATTCCTTTTCTAGTTGTTGTAAGTGAAAACTTTCTTTTTAAATGTGTTTGTAGTTTATGTTTTACAGAGATGGTTTTGGTAGTATTTGTGATAAAATGGTTTTTGAATATGATTATTATAGGGGAATATATTTATAGAACTCTACTTGTGTACCTTGTTGAATTCTACTATTGAAACTTAAAACTTCTGAGCTCACACAGTTAATATATCTAGAGTGCAAAAGAAAAAAATTCTTTATCTTACATTTTTTAGGATATAGAAGCAAGTATTGCTTCTATTTGTTTTAAATGCAAATTCCTTTTTTCTTTGCATTTTAGATCCTATATGTAAGAAAACTTTTTAAAATAATTTGTACACTGGTAATATTTGGAATAAGTACCATAAATTCATGTAGACTGTACTTTCTCAATAGATTTCTCTATTTAATCATAACAAAATTTATTTCAAAACTACAAGTCTTTAAGAAAATTTAATTATAAAATTATGTGGCACTATTGAAAACTTAAAGATAGAAGAGCAAGATATATTAATGTTTATGCATATTAGTAATTATGTATAAGAACAAGGAATTGATTATAGTGTCTATTCTACATTGACACATTAGTATATCTAGTATAAAGTTAACAGGCAATGATTATGAACATGTTTAATCATTTGATTTATGTCTGACTTGATTTTATGTTATTAGAAAATAATATTTGGCTCAATAGGAAAGCTGGAATAAGAGCTCAAATGTTTTTGAGCCTTTCCCCTGTGCTTGGTGTTGCTCTTTAAATTTTATGTTATTATTCATTTATTTCATTATTACAACAACCTCATACGGTAAATACTATTGCAGATGAGAAAAGTATAAATTTTATAGAGGTCACTTAGCCCTTAAATGTGGGAGCTGTGGGGAGCTGAGCTTCCATATGCCCCTCCCCAACTACTATGCTACATCTTGGAGGAAGAAAAAAGTAATTGACAGATACATGCTTAAGTGATATAATATTAAAGGAACCTTGGTGCCACAGTGGCTAGGCACTTGGCTGCTAACAAGTTCAAACTCACCAGTCGTTCTGTAGGAGGAAGATATGGCACCCCACTTCTGGAAAATTACCTCCTGGAGAGAACCCTAAGGGGAGGGGGAGTTCGGTGTCCTACAAGGTTGCCGTAAGTCTAAATGAAGCAGCTCACTGGCCTTGGGTAAGATCATGTCTGGGAAGAAAGGGGAGACTAAAATTAGAGAAAGCAGTGCCGATAGACTTGAATGAAAATGGAATCTGTGACGTGGTGTGAAAATGGGGAATTCTGAACACTTTGGAACGTTTTCTAAGGAGAATATCTCTATCCTATCCTAGGGGGTTCTCTTCTGTTTCTTGGACAACTTAAGAGAGGATACTTAAGCTAAGATTATCAATCAATAAAGAAAATGCTTTTATTTTAGATATGTGTTGTTGTTTTTAAAGAATTTGTCATTACTGAGATACCACCCAATTTTTATGTACGTACCATCATTTGTTCAAGATTATAGGGGAGAAATTAATAGCAAAGAAAATAAAGATGGCCACTATCAGCTACTTCTGTTTTCTTTCTCCGTATAAATAATGCATACATCTCTTCAAAGCAGAAAGGCTATAGTTCTATTGCAGCTGATAGCAGATAATGAGGGAATTTGCTGAAAGCTTTACTTGGAGTCTTGCATTGTTGGACTAATATGTGTGGCAGGGTGGGGAGATTTCCTACTGTTTGTTTTTGGTTTTTTTGCAAACATCAGGAAAGGGACAGTAATCGTAGGAAACACTCCCATGGAAACCCTCAGTGCTAACGCTAAGCTCCTCCTTCCCCTCTCTCCTAGCAGTGTAGGACCCATGCAGCTGAGAATTACAGTATCTTAAAAGGACAACGTTTATTATGCTCCAATTTAAATATGTTCCTATTTATGAAATAGTCATAATATTTGAGGTTCATCACACATGTTAGATTACAAATAGATGGCTAAGAGTTCCCTATGTTCATTCTAACCCTACTATAATAGGCAAAATTAGTTAACATTTAAAGAACTATATATTTAGAAGTATTTGTACAATTCTTATAAATGACATTTAAATTATAATTTCTTAATTACAGTTTAAAACTGATTTTTTTTCTCTCCAAATAGAGTGATAGAATATGGATGCTCTTTGTATGGATATATATATATATATACACACACACACACACACACACACACACACCATAGTGGGGCACAGGATCCTAATCTAGTTTCATGAATTTAGAGCCTTAGGAGGGCTGGGCCTGTGAAAGTAAATCCCAAACTGCTGCTATTTGTATTCATAAAAGGTTAATTTTTTTTT